GTACAAACACGGATGGAGGATTCGAGTGCTCTTGCAACGAAGGGTTCAAAGTGAATCCTCTTGAGCCTGCTTTCTGCGACGACGTGGACGAATGCGAAGTCTCGAACGCGGGATGCTCTCATACCTGCCTGAATTTAGTAGGATCGTTTCGTTGCGTATGTCCTTTGGGATACACTCTGGACAACGACGGTAAAACTTGCAGATTAGTCGACGGTTGCAAGCAGAATAACGGGAACTGCTCCCATCACTGCCACCACGAAGAAGACAGCGAGAAGGTTCACTGCTCCTGTCCCCTGGGCTTCAGACTGAAACAAGATCAGAGAACCTGCGAAGATATCGACGAATGCGAAGAGTTTGAGAACGACGTGGACCTAGGTTGCTCGCACATCTGCGTGAACACCGAGGGTGGATACTACTGCGAGTGTCCTTCCGGATACATCCTGCTACCGGCGGACAAGAAGAATTGCATCGACATGGACGAATGCCTGAACAGCCAGCACAACTGCAGTCACGACTGCTTGAACCTGTTGGGAAGCTACGTGTGCACCTGCTACGAGGGGCACTATCTTCACTCCGACAAATCCACCTGTCTGGACATCGACGAGTGTTTGGAGAAGAACGGTGGCTGCTCCCATCAGTGTACCAACACCATAGGTGGCCACTTCTGCTCCTGTCCAGCGGGTTACGAGCTCTCTCAAGATGAGAAGACCTGCGTAGATATAGACGAGTGTGAAATCGAAATAGCCGATTGTTTATACGAGTGCGTCAACACCGTAGGCTCGTGGAAGTGTGTTTGCCCGGTTGGCCACGTTCTGGCGAACGACTCGAGAAGCTGCGTGGACATTGACGAATGCAAACTGAACAACGCTGGCTGTTCTCACGCGTGTTTCAATATAATCGGAGGTGTCAGATGTAGCTGTCCTGTCGGGTTACGTTTGGACGAGGCTGGAAAGACGTGCAGCGACGTAAACGAGTGTCTGGCAGAGAATGGCGGCTGCTCGGACATCTGCGAGAACTCGGAGGGCAGCTTCTCTTGTCGATGCCTGAGTGGTTTCCGTCTGCACACGGATTCCAAGACTTGCTTCGACATTGACGAGTGCGAGATGGAAAACGGAGGATGTTCCGACGACTGCGTGAACACGGAAGGTAGCTATCGTTGCGGGTGTCCAACAGGTTTCCTACTGAAGGATGATCAGAGATCTTGCGTCGACGTGAACGAGTGTGAAGATAATAACGGTGGTTGCTCTCACGAATGTATCAACGAGCTTGGCTCTTATCGATGCAACTGTCCAGCTGGCTACGAGCTAAGGAACAAATCGTGCCATTACGTGGATCCCTGTGGCAATAATAACGGGGGCTGCGAGCAGATTTGCAACGAGAAGAATGGCGCGGCTGTGTGCACGTGCGGTGAAGGCTTCCGGCACGACGAGAACGATCGCTCGAGGTGCAGGGATATCGATGAATGCACTGGTCAGCATGGCTGCGATCAGCTGTGCGTGAATATTGTTGGATCGTTCGAATGTAGATGCAGAGAAGGATTCGAGATGCAGAATTCTACGTGTGTTGGTGAGTATATTGAAATCAACAATTATTGCGATGATATCATTATTTGGTAAATTTAAATTTTGG